TCTCTCTCATATATATATATATATATATATATATATATATATGAGAGAGAAGGGTTGGTTGTGGAGTGCAAGAAGACATCACAGTGGGGCACCAAAGTCCACGACATGCATAGTCATGCTCATCTTTTCTTGAAAGTCCATCAATGTGACACCAAATCCATTTTCTTGTTTTAATACATCGCACCTATGCTTATTGCTTCTCCATCACGTTGTGAACCTTCCATTAATTTAGGGCCTTTTTATTATAGGGTTGCATGCAGTACAAATCTTAGTTTTTCATGTTATATATTATGCTACTAGCTCTAAGTGTAAAATATATAAAATGGTGTATATTTACTATTATGGTGCATAGTATTTTTTAAAAATATTTTTTGTTTGAAAACATACTAAAATATTTTTATAATTATTTTTTATATTAGTATATTAGCACCATTAAAAAAATATTAATTTAATATTTTTTAGAAACCAAAAACATTTTTAAACCACAGGAAACACCCTCTAGCCCACCACCATGTTGAATATAAATAATAATTGTGGGTCTAAGCCTAACAAATTCAGTAACCAAACTATACCTATAATGGGAACCCTACTTTTCAACGAAATTCAAAAGTCGGCCTCGTAGCCCACCAAGTTGCTGTTCAAGGTGGCCATGTACACACAGTTTTAAAACTGAACTTGCTAAATGGAAAACGAAAACTTTAAATTAAAAAAAAAACATTATTATTATTATTATTATTATTATCAGCTTCGCCATGTTTCCTGAACACACCTTGTGGTAATGAAATTTTAATCAAATAAAAAGTTGGCAAATCAAGTGGAAGATTCAAACCAAGGGTTACTTCTTGTGTTTGAATTTGTAATGTAAAGTATTTTTTAAAAGTGGTTTTTTATTTTAAATATATTAAAATATATTTTTATTTATTTTTAATATTTATTTATTAAAATATAAAAAAAATCTAGAAAAAAAATCACTTTTACAGCAAATACATGAAAGAAGTCAAATTGAATAGTTCTCCACTTCCAGAATTCCGTCCCATTATCCATGCAAAGGTCCCATTTGTAAGAAGCTGCTACTCTTTTGGAATATATATTCCATCATATCATATGGTTGTCGTACCCAATTTCGAAGACTGACTAAAAAAAAAAGTTATTAGATGATCGAATCGACCTAATGAATGGGAGCAGACTGGCTGTCCAACCTTTGTGTGTGTTAAAGTGGTGTTTGTGCTGTGCTGAGGATTAAATTAATTTTTTTTATTTAAGGTATATTTATTTTTTAAAAAGTGATTAAAAAAAGGATTTTAAAATTTTTTTGTTTATCATTAAAAACTTAGTTAACAAATAATATTTTTTGTTAATGAAAAACACTTTAGTCAATAAAAAATTTAGTTTGGTTTCACGAAAATATTTTTTTTTAATATTATATGGAAAATACTTTCTGAAAATTATGAAAAAATTAAAAATATTATATTATTTGCTGATTATATCAAATTTAATCTTTAAATTTTTTATTGCTATATATATATATTTTAATATTTTTTTAATTTCATCCCTTAGAATTTATTTTTATATTAACTTCGGTCCTCATTTTTATAATTGTTATTTGCTTTTCTCTTATTATTTTTTAATTGAAATTTTTTATTTATCAAATTTGATCATCATTCTTTTTATTGTTACTTATTTTATTTGAAATAATTTATGAAATGATAATTATTATTATTTTAATTTTTTTATCTTTTATTTTTTTATCTTTTAGATTTGATCTCTATTATTTTGATTATTATTTATTTTATTTGAGATAATTTATAAAATTATATTTTTTTCAATTTTATTCTCATTCATCTTTTTAATTTTTAAGATTTGTTTCTCATTATTTTAATAAAATTAAAAAAATAAAATATCAATAAGTTATTTTACAGCTCATTTTCTATAACATAACCAAATACTGGAAAATGTTTTCCAGGTTTCATTGCACTATCAAATATCAAAAAATAATTTAATTAAAAAAAAAATTACTTTCTAGTAAATAAACAGGGTCTTAAAAAAACAAGATGTCCTAACGATAAAAAAATCAATAAGTGGGCAAGATTAATATTTTTAAAAAATATATTAAGATATCCTAACAATGATAAAATCAATCTAGGTTAATTTTATGACATCTGACCTAGAACATAAAATCAAGATAACCGTAAAAGGCAAGAAAAATCACAAAATTCAATATTTAACAACTTAATATCAAATGATAAAAGTAAAAATAAATTAAAGAAAAAAAATTAAAGTCAATCTGAGTTAAATCTACTAACCTAAAAAGTGTGATATGAGATCAAGATTAAGAAAATAAATTTGTAATGTAAAAAAAAAGTAATTGTTAAAAAAAATTAAAAAATAAGTAATTGAAAATAATTTGAGATTAAATTGAAAATAAGAATAAATGAAGGAAAGAATAAAATAAAAAAATAAAAAATAAAGGCTAAAATTGGATATAAAATTAAATAAAATAAATTTTAAAGAATAAAATTAAAAAAAATCTAACAAAGAATAAAAATAGTAACCAGAAATAGAATGATGATGAAATTGAATACAAAAATCAAATAAAATCAAATATTAAGAAATAAAATTAAAAAAATAATAAACTTTTAAAAGTATTGAAATAAAAAAATAAAAATCAAATTTAAAATAAATAAAAATCGAAGAATACAACTGAATTTTTTAAAACTCAACACGGATACCAAGATGTAGAAGAGACAATAAAGGGAAGGAGATAAAAAACTCTATCCCGTCGAGCCACTGCCAACCATACCACACGAGTCACCCCACTGCCTTCACCACCATTAGCCACATTGAATGAAACAGTGGTTGGCTCTTTTTCGGCCATTAAAAGACTCGACCTCTAAATTGGCATGGGAGATGATGACGCGTGAATAGTTTTTATTTTTTAATATCTCAAAAGTCATCTGAATATTATATATATAAAAAAACTATAAACGCATTTAGCCTTAGAATTTTTTACAACCAAGGTTAAACCTGTTATTTTATAATATAAAAATATTTAAAAAACTAGAAAGCCCTCCTCTGCAAGTTTAGTATTTTGCAACTACTAAGAGCATTTAAGTTATTTAACAGTGTAAGAAAATGAAAAAAAAATAAAAAAACCCCTAGTTAAAAGACCTATTTTTTTTTCAAAGATAAAAAAATAATTTTACTGTATAAAAAATTAAATTATCTGTGACCATTGTATATCCTAAAAAAATATTTTTACCCTGTAAACTAGACAATTATTTTATATAATGAATGACGAAAAAGATAATTTCTTATGTTAATTTAAATTGAATTGTCGCATATGTTACAGTAAAACACCAATCATCTCTAATGTTCTTTATAATAGACTAATGCTTGCCTTCTTGCTTATTCATTCCCTCTAATCATTGATTTCGTTCTTTTTGTTCCTTAATTACTAGGCAGGGTTTAGAGTAAACTCAGTCAGTTCAACCAAATTATTAGAAATCTAATTGGGCAGAACATATTTGTTGGATCAAATATTTATTTGTTTTTATTAGAAATCTGAATACGCTTTGAATTCTAAATTTTTTTCGAGTCAACCCTTCAAATCATACCAAATTTAAAAAATAAAAAATGTTGCTAATTAGTGCTAATAATGTCTATAGACTTTTTTTTTTCTTTCTTAGACTAGTTTTTATTCATCAAATTTAGCTAAATCATTCATTCCCTAACTGATATATTTGCAAATTATTAGTTACCATAACCTTCAATGAGAAGATAATAAACAAAGAAACCATTAGTCTAGTACAGAAAACAAAAATTGTGAAGTAGCGGAGGCATATTTTTTTATTTAGAAAATTGTTCGGTGGATTTACCATGCAATTCCTCGTTTTTCCTTTCCTTTTCCCTTCCTTGTATTCACGTGAAAACTTGTAAAAATTTGTTATCGAGCTTTAATACATGCAAGAAGAAAGATTAATATAATCTCCACCCATAAAATCATGGATTTGCTTTTTAAAAATTAGCGATTGTATTCAAGTGTTATAAATCTTAAAATAATAAAAAATTTACATAATTATCAATTTTAAGGTTTTAAAATGTTTATAAATTAACCCAGATATTTATAAATAAAAAAAAAAGAATAAGAAGAAGAAAGATTAATGTACTGAATTGAACAATATATTTCTCTACAAATGGTGGGGATATGATGAATATAAAACCAGGTCGCAGCTTTTGAAATTGAAGGGTTTGATATCGATCCTTTAATCAAATTAATAACAGCCATTGCAGGGCTATACGCTTTCTCCGCCTCCCTCTTTCCTTTTCTTCTAAAAGGGGTGTTGAAGCCTTGCTCACAGCTGGTCAACTCAATGATTCATCATCCATCAGCCTGACTCAACAAGTAAATCCAGTGATTCACAGGCTGGTGGAAAAACTGTCCTTTTCTATTAAATTATGTCGTTTCAAGATCTCTCTATTTTTATAAGAAAAAAGATTCAAATCATCTTATTACCAATCAAGTCTTATCTTATTACCAATCGAGTCTTAAACCGGGTCGACTTTCAAGTCAGATACCAGAACTATAGTTTCAAAACAAGTAAATGGTTTCCTCACATTGCAAATTTGCCGAACATGAGAGGAAATGCTCATCATTCGCTGTTAATTTCTTTTCCTTGCTCTCCTTTTAAAGACGGAAACAATGTCACAACCAGGCTTAAAGCATATGTTGCTGGGAGTTTTACGCTTGAGCGATAATTTCATCATAACTTGGAGAAAAATTCGAAAAACTACCATGCACATGTACGAAACAGCAAATCAAAATGAAGCAGAATAAACCTCTTCAACCAAATGCCAACAATATGATGAAGTGCTCTGTTTTTTCATGAATTTTTTTCCCTTTCTGAACCTTGTGCTGATTCAGATACTAGCTGCTTGGAATACACACGGTGCCGCCTTTATCTGCCATATATGACCCAGAAGATTAGAGAAAGCATAACTGCAGTAGAGACCATTACCAAACCTATGTATATGCATCTACTGTATCTCCTGAGGCTTGGACAATGATCCTTACATATGTCTTTGAATGTTTCCTTTGCAAAAGTGCAGTCTCCTATGTCAACCAGGAAAGGAGCATAATTGTTCAAACCATATTTACTGCGGCTGACATCTGGCTGTAGAATGTAGGGGTCAAACGTCCTGTTGTGGTACATATCCCAGCCAGTGAAACCTGACACACGTAGCTCCTCCATACCTGGACAAGTTAAATGAAAATGTTGAATATCATTTTAATTTTTTCGCACGAGAGTTCGTGAAACTCTTCAGTTTCCTTGCAAATTTTATGTTATGAAGGAAACTTTTAGGCCGAAGGAAAGGGCTGGCAAGAGTTCGCTGCTTTGCTTTCTATCCCAAATCGTCAAATGTCATTGAATCCCTGCTTTTAATTTATAGCCTAGTAATGCTTCCTTTAGTATACATGCATCTTTAAACTTCAATCATTTCCAGCTTCTATCGATTACCTATGTTGCGCATTGCTCAAGTCCACCTCACCAGCACTGCATGGCCGGATCGTCAAGTCGGCATAAAATGGGTTGCATAGTACTGGTACCAACGGCCAGATTGGTTGATGTACACTGGCTTAAAGTTGAGGGAGAAGTTAAGATTAGAAACATTGGTGATGACCTGGTTGACCACTTCAACAAGTTGGGCAGTGATTTCCTTGCTCTTTAACAAGGTGTCTTGCGTAGTTGCTTTGTCCACACAGGGAAGTATATCATCTAAAGCTGTATGAGCAGTGGGGCTGTGCACCCAAAGATCCATAGCGACACAAGTATCTCCAGCGACACTAGCATGTCAGAGAAAGAATAATTGTAAATTGGTGAGGGGATCAGAAATAACAAATCAGGGAAAAAGGCTTACCATGAATTTGTATGAGTAATGAAGCAATAAAAAAAAAATCTAAAAGGAATACATCCATTTTCTCTCAAGTACTAGCTCGGCAATGATTACAAGGGTATGGCTGAGTTTGGCTAGCATCCCTAATAACTTTGACAAAAATATATCTGGTTGAAGAGATAGAGACAAAAACATAAAATAAATTTGAAATAAGAAAACATGTCTCCATTGTCTCTGTCTCTTTTGTCCGAGATGAAACAAGAGAACTCCTGAGCCCTTGACAGTACGTACTCATAGATAAGGCAGTATAATTGGTATCACAACACCCCATCACTCCAACAATGTCCATTTTCAAGGCTATATCCGTGTCATAATGTGACACCATTCCATTAATCCATAAGGCTTGCAATTTTCAGATGATACACCCTTTAAGATCCTTTAACTGATCGCATCCTATAAAGGATGCTTCCAGTTGAAGTGAACACAGTGAAGAGGCTTAACAGTTGGCCAAAGCAGCCGTAGAAGAAGGTGATGGGAAACAAAACAGTAGAGGAAAAGAAATTACTGAGAACAATACATAGGCGAATCATTTTGGAGAAGCTGGAAAAAAAAAAAGAAGAAGATGAAAGTTAAGTGTGGTGTGCTATCCAATGTGGTGAAAGTGTTTTATCCTTGTTTCAAACATAATCATCAGAAAAATTTTAGACCAAGGGAATATTTAAGTTTCAAATGGCAGGCCAGATTCAACTTTTGGAAAATTGTTGATAGTAAATACAGATTAATCTTCTCCTTACAAATAATACCAAGCAGGATGTTAATTCAGGCTTGTGTCAACTGAGGATCATGAACTCAATCCAGATCAATCCCATTTTGGACAAAAATTAAGCCATTTTGGACAAAAATTAACAAAATATTCACTGGAGCTGACCTGGTCGAGTCTCAGGTTGAGCCAGGTCAACCACGTCATGGATTGACCTGCCAAGTAATCTAAATTTGACCGGATCAATAACTAAAACAGTTTGCAAGAAACCCACTCATGCCGGACTCTGGGCCAACGAGGTCGCCAGGTCAGGTTAATGTCTACGATCTGCAGTAAATAACTTACTTATGGAGAAGAAGAAGGTGCCGCACAAAATGAAAGTTCCAGCAACAAGAGTCCATCCAACAATGACAAGGCTGCAGCAATTTTATGAGGTCACATCACTCGAGAACAGGTAAGAATTAAAGGCAGTAAAAGATAGAATATCACTTACATGTACACCAGGAACTGCATGCCAAAGATTGAAAACACTGGAACACGAAAACTCAACATTATTACATATGCTTCGCTGAAGTTTTTAAACATAAGATTTATTCAGAGTTTCTCTTATCAAGGAAACAAAAAGCTAAGCTTACAGAATCCAAGAAATGTCAGGAGAAGCATAATGGCAGCAGTAGTGATTAGTGCCACTCTCCTGCATGAACACCAATATGCTCATTAAGTGATCAAAAAGACCAAGTGCTTAATCAGATGCAATAAGCCGAATCCTTCAACTTACACAGAATCCAAGAGATCACGTATGTCATCCGAATTATCCACAGTTTTCTCAGCAAGGACACTAGCAGAAGAATTAATTCTTATTCCAATCTGATCAATATCACTTTGGACATTAGAAGGTAGAAAAACTTGATCAACTCCGATTAGCTTGGCAGAAGCAATAAAATCTGACACGGTCTTTAGTTTATCGACAGTGGTGTCTGCTTGATTCACAACACACTCCAAAGTTTCTGTTGTGCTTTGTAGCCAAAGAATTCAACATTAGTTTCTCTACATAAGATTGATGCATGTGTCAGCGCAGCATGCCTGTGTGTGCGTGTGCGTGTTTGTGTAAAAGAGAGAGAAGCATCTACATAGCACATATGCTGAATAGAATGAGGAAAACGAGGGAGATAGCATAAGCTGTTCGAGAGAAGCCATAGCGCTGCCTTTTGAAACAGAAATGACAAAGGCAACCACACAGTAAGCACAGCCCAAATACCAGAAACCAGATTGCAGCAATAGCAAACAGAGGAGCTGCGGTGAAACCTACAGGCTGCATTCAAACAAAACATTCAGTTACCAAAGAATTCTCAATGAAATCTGAAAATTTAGACTAAACACGCAATTAGAATGTGATTAGTTTGACATAAGTAAAACCCAATACAGAAGGTCCACTCAATAACTCTAAATTGTTTTCCTTGAGCATAATATCCACCAATAACTTCTCATCACTTGCTAGAAGGTACATAAACGTTTGATATTATTATTGTATTTTGAGCAACTTCAATCGTTTGCCCAGACAAGACCATCTTTCTTGTTCAAGAAGACACTATGCGAGGCACATTTCAAGCAAGTAGCATTTAACCCCGTCTGTACCAAACCATCTTTCTGGTTCTAGCATATTGCTATGAATAATTGTAATAAAACGTATTTATAATTATTTCCACTAGAGTATTTAAGTCTATTGGCTTGATGAGAAAATTACATAAATCAGCAATCAATAATTGAATGTTGCTAAGTACAGCCAAATTTTTCCATTTTTCTCATTAAATGCAAATTGGAATCTTGCCTTCACCTCGAATTATGACATTCACTCCCTCTATAGCCTCTAAAAAGCACCGTTACTGCTTTTAAGGATTAAATCATAACTTAGATTCTATTTAATAATTTAAAATTTACAATTAAATTAATTCTTTAATATGATAACATAACTTTAATATTTAAGTAGTCTAAGAGTTCTAATTTTATCTTTTTTATTCATTTAATAAAAAATTAAACACAAAATAATATATGCATATAGAAATTTCAAATACAAAAAAATTTATTTTAAAAAATATATTAAAAAATAATATAAATTATATCTTAAAATCAGATCTAAACCATTAAATTAAAATAATTATTCAATAAATGCTAGATTCGATCTTACATTTTTATCCGAAGTTTTTTTTTATCACGACAAGCTATGTTGGGAGAGAAGTAAATTTATATAGTAACTATTACTTCTCTCCCAACGTAGCTTATTGTCCTGATGATAACATGTTGGATGGAAATGTAAGATCCAATCTAGCATTTGCAAACCGGTAATTAAAACTGAAACCCTGCAACAGCAACAATAGCACATAATGAAGTACCAAAAAATAAAAACAAAGAGAGATGGTATGATTCTACTGGGGTTTGATCATTGATAAACTTACAGCCCAGTAATGGCGATCACTGATATTCCATCCTCCGGTGAAATCATTAAAAGGGTCTTTTCAGTAAATCCTCTTTGGAGCTAACACAAGTACTGGTGAGTCCTCGAAAGGTTCACTAATGGGTGCCTCCACCAAAGACCTCCTTGCCCCCCATGAGAACTCCACTTCATACTTAGCTTCATTTTCCCTCCTTGCTATTGCCTTTCAAAATCAACACAAAATGACACAACTTTATGCATTCTCTTTTCTTCTAAAACACATCATCGTTGAGTAAGCAAAATTAAAGTTTCAAAATTTTCTGTTCGGTAGCTGAGAAAATTCATAAAAACAAAACAAAACAAGATCTTGCGAAGATAAATATGTTAGTTTAGGCTTCCAAGAAATATGAAAACTTGCATTAATTAAGTCAAAAAGTTTCAACATGCACATTTTAGTGGGGTCACGTAAAAAAGTGAGCACACCAAAGTACAACTATAACACTCCAGCCTTCTTTCTTCCTATATTTTCTCAGAAACCAAACAGATGTTGAGGAAACAGTGGACCTCAACAGGAAAGTTAAAAGAGTATACCAGCGAGTAGAGCAGAGAAGGGAATGGATGTTGAAGAAGCAAAGAAGACAAAGGTGAGCGGAAGAAGAGTAAATGAATGTAAACTGTGACATGACATGATGACTAAGAGAGGGAAAGGAAGGCTCTCTATTTTTCTTTACGGTTTTCTTTGAGGGTTAAAGTTTGTAATTTGTTGAACCATAATTTTGTTTATAAGAAAAATGTGAATTATTATATTATAATTTCAATATAGATTAAAATTTAGTTATATATAATTTTTTAAATAATATTACTCAATTTCAGTGTATCATAATGGTCGTTAGTTGTGGATCATAAATTAATTATTGGATAAATTATTTAACACTGCCCATACTACTAAAAATTAAATGATTAGTAAATATCTCATCCATTGCAAATAAAATTAAATTTCATGGCCAGTAAAAATCAGCAACAAAATCAACAATATAAAATATAAGATGCAGATTTAGTATTGTTGATTTATCAAAAAAAAAAAATTCTTTACTAATAAATCAACAATTAAATGATAATTTTGTTGTTGATTAGTAATGAAAATTCATTGCTAAATCTGTTGGTGATCAATGGTTTTTTGTATTTAAAAGAAAATAATTTATTAAAAATATGAATGAAGAATTTAATTATATATAATGAAGATTCTCTCTTGAAACTTTAATTATGAAAAAATTAAAATTTATAATTTTTTAAACTATAATAAAAAATATTACCATAATACATGGAATAGAAGATTATGAATATCAAGTGAGAGACATTTATACATAATTATTAAATATAACCTGCTCTAATGATTAATAAAAAAAATTAAAATTTAAAAACTATTTAAGTTATATAAGATACTGATACAATAAAATTAATTTGATTCCACTGATTTTTTTTAGTAACTTGATTAATTAAATAATAAAGAAAGAAAAGTAAAAAAATTGACCCAATTACTCGTATTTTTGTCTAAATTAGTTCCCAAATCATGTATGCTTCGAACCAACCATGATGTGAAAAGATGGAAAGGGGCCCATCCAGTTGTTTTCCAATATTTATAGACAACCAAAATTACGATCTTTTTCGTTCTTTTTTATTTTTTCTTATAAACAGGAAATAGTAATTTTGTGAGGACCACAATTGCCGGCTATTTTCTTGGCTTTCTATGCTTTTTCAAGTGTTTTCGCATTTTTATGTTTATAGTTTGGAAGAAATTATTTTATAAAAATTATTTTTAATTAAAGTTGGTTTGATATTTTTATATATTTAATTAAAATTATAATTATAATTGAAATTAAATAAAAAATAATTCAATGTGTTTGGTAATATATATTAATATCGATAATTTTTAATTTAAATATTATAAATTTAATTACTGTTATTATATCATAAAATAAATAATATTTTATAGAAAAAAATTTATTGTTACATTAAACTGTCTATAATTTTATCACATACAAAATTCATTCAATAAGTATAATTTTCATGGTTTTTTGAGTGTCCAACAAAATTAAGTAAAATATAATTAAAAATAAAATTAGAATTATGATAAAAACAATATAATTAAAAATAAAATTAAAATTATGATAAAAACAATTCTATCATGGATCTCTTTTTTAATTTAAGCTATATCATTAAAGAATGTTAAATATTAATTTTTTTAATAAAATATATTTTTTAAAAAATAAATTTTTTACTGTTTATGATACCAATGCAGGTGAAAAATCACTACACTCTCAATGTGTTAACAAACAAATGTGCAAAGTGTATTAATTTACTCTGTACACTGTTCATTCTTGTTAAGTGAACAGTGCCAACAAAGCACATGTAACTTAATTCTTTATGACCTGTGTTTTTATACGATTTTCGATGAGTCCCATCAATTAAAAAAATTACTTGTTATTTTAAAATTATGGTTTCTTTAAAACATAGTTGCTGCTGTTTAAACAAACACAGTCTAGTCTTCTCACCACTCAGGCGCGGCCTTGGTCTAGAATCAGGAATTTTCTTCATCTGTATTTTTTTTAGAATTTTATTTTAAATTATTTTTTTAATATATTAATATTAAAAATAAATTTTAAAAAATAAAATAAAATAAAATAAAAAAATATTAATTTTCAAATATTCACTCAAATGATGATGTAACAGAAGACACACTCTCAGAGTAATTACTGACATGTCGTCTGGATAGAAATTAAATAAAATCTATAACAACAGCAACAGTTCAGCCCGTCAGAGTCTTCTCGCAGGCCTCAACAACTCCATGACGACTTTTCTTTAACAGCCACCACCTCCACCTCCACCTCCTCCCCCTCCATTTCCAACAGCCATATTCACTTATACAACACAGAGAGAAAGTGTTTTTAGAGAGAGAAACAAAAAATGGGTTGTGGGGATCTCTTCTTTTCACTGCTTATAACCTTCTCAGCAGCCCTTATAACATACAACATCCTTATATCAGCAAATGCACCACTTAAGCAAGAACTACCAGGTCCATCATCAAGATCATCAGTTTTAGTTGACCCAATTATCAAGATGCCATTCGAAAGATCAAGTTTAGGTAAAAAGAGACTGTTTCATACAGCTGTGACAGCTTCTGATTCTGTGTATAATACTTGGCAGTGTAGGGTGATGTATTATTGGTACAAGAAGCATAAAGATGGACCCAATAGTGAAATGGGTGGGTTTACTAGGATCTTGCATTCTGGAAAGCCTGACAAGTTTATGGAGGAAATCCCAACTTTTATAGCACAGCCTTTGCCTTCTGGGATGGATCAGGTTTTTGTTCTTCTTTTGAAATTTGGGTTTGTATTCCTTTATTGATTCATGTGGTTGACCTTTAGAGCTCGCTAAAGGCAGTTAACTTTGAGAATTAGTTAAAGTTTTGAACTTGGTTAACCGAATTTGAGATTGTTGAGTTTTTTAGAAATTACAGTCTATTGATAATTTGAAACCCTTAGGTAAGGTTAAGACTTCTTATGTACTTGGTTGCTGAAGAAACCTAGGCAAA